CCCTCCCCCCCATCTTCTCCCCCCCCCCCCCCCCCCCCCCAAGTCACAAATCAGCAGGTCTGTAGAGAAGAGCCTTAAATTAGTATTCCTCTGATGCAGGAAAGTGGAATTTCCAACCTCTGTCCTTGAGGCTGCAGTTCTATGAGCAGCTTTGAGCAGCGAGCTTTTCCTGCCTGTTAGTAAGCCTTAGGTGGTCTTTTCACTTGGCGGTGAGTTGGCCATTTTAAAGCATGTATGTCTTAGCAAATGCATGGCTGTAAGCCAGCCCTGTCTGCTACTGCTGCTTCAATCAAACCAGTCAGATGCACCCAAGGGAACTGGGATTATCATGATAAATGGATGTGTTGGGAACGAGCATCCATGACAAGCTATGCGCTGCCTGAATGAAAATCTGTAAAAGCACCCCATTTTACCAAATTGCACCTTGTGGTGGGAGCTCCATTGGAGGCTGGGGAATGTATTTTGAAGTGGTGATGGCAGTGGAGGGAAATTTTAGTCAAATGAGCACTGAAGCAGAAGGAAGCAGTCCCGAAGAAACACCGTCCTTGAAGATGTTCAGCAAGCGTCTAGCAGGAGAAGCTGCTTCAGCTTGGGACCCAATGCCAGACTTGGGTTTGTTTATTCATGAAGCAATGGTTGCTGACTGCTAAAACACTGGATGGGGGGGGGAAAGGCCACAAAAGTGGCTTTTCCTCCTTTTCTGTCCAGGAATCCTGGGGACAAGAGGACACGCAGTGTCAGGAGGTGGCGCTCCTCCCTCTGTAGATGGTGTGTGGGACACTTGTCCCCAAGGGCTTGCTGGTGGGGCTGGCCTGGAGAAAAACCCTGCTTAGCTGAGGTGAGGTCACCTATGGGGTGGTGCGCTATGTGTTCCCTCTAAGGGCTCCCTGAAGCCCCGTGATGCCTTCCGGGCACTTTGCTGGGGAGCTCCTGGGACCCAGATTTGGGAGATCCCTGCCAAGACATGTGGGTCTGGGGGGCCGAAGCCGGGGGGAGGCCAAGCTGGCTGCGGCAAAGCTTCCCACTCCCGATGCCTGGGTCCGCCCGGCAGCCCTCGTCCCCCCAGCCTTCCCGCTCCTGCAGAGCATCCGTCCGCTGTTTTGGGGACAGTCCCCAGTGCAACAGCAACAGCAGCAATCAGTGCAGGTCACACATCAGTCCAGCAGCTCCTGAGAGCCCAGAAACTGGTTTTAGGGTGGCTTACGTTTTTTTTTAAACCGTCTTCTCTTAACATTGAGCTTTTTCTCTTCAGCACAGTTGTCTCACCCCCCACGGCTCCCTGAGTGCTGTGGTGGTGCTCCTTGAGTGCATCTTCCCTGCTCCGAAATGGCCAACGACATCGCTGTCCGCTCAGAAAAGATCCTGCGCCCGGATGATGCTCGGACCAACCCAAGAGCCGCGGGAGGACAAGCACAGCCCTGACCCTGCCGAAATAGCACCGGGCACCGTGGGAATGTGCCCTGTCCCAGCTGGTGCTGGGATGGCCGTGGCTGGGAAGCAGAGCTGGGTTTCACCCCCGGTGCTCCCCAGCTGCCAGCGGCACAGGGGCTGGGATCCGGCGCTCCTGGGGTGGGGGGGCCACTTTTCCAGCCTTCCCGGGGCGCATCTGGCTCCAGCGCTGCCTCTTTCCCTTGTCGGAGATGAAACGAGATGCAGCTGCGATGCTGGAGCAGAGATGTTAGAAGCGTGTGAGGATGCCCGGAGGGAGGGGAAAAAAAAAAAAAAAAAGGGTTCAAGTCGGAGGTCTTGGCTCCCACAATCAGCTTCACAAGTGGCCCAGCTGACACCCCTGCCTCCCACCCCGGCCCCTGCCTTTGATCCCAGTGACAGGCAAGGAGCTTCAAATATGCTTGACGGGGGTGAGGGGCTGACGAAGGGGCCCCGGGGGAGCCGCGGCCGGGTTCACCCGCCGCACGGCGGCTTTTCTGCCGGAGCAGCTCCGCTGGGCTTTTCCAAGCGCGGCGTGCGTTTGATTTGCAGCCTCCCTCGGCCCCAGGACCTGCTTTCGTACCTGACAACTCTCTGGCTTCTCATCAAACCTTAGAAGCGCCTGCAGGACTCGGTGAGGGGGAATGGATGTGGTGGGGAGATGGGTCCCTGCGGAGGTCAGGTCGTCCCCGTACGGGGCGAGGGGGTGCTGGGCAGCCCTGCTTCGGGACCGCAGCCCCGCGGGCACCCTGAGGTCCCCATGCCAAGACAAAGCCAAAGCCGACGTTCCCCCACCCCCACGGCCACCCCGCTGTCGGGCATCGGTGGTCCCGGTGCAGCGCTGCTTCCCAGCCGGTCACAGGGCTTACAGGAGCCCACGTGAGTTTTGGGAAGTCTTCTCACTGGCCCCCCTAACCCCCCCTGGCATGGTGCTGGGGAACCACGTGTTTCTGCGGCGGCTGCCGGGCACAGTGGGGAAGAATAAATTTAGCTCTTATCGCCTCCCAACTTCCCCAAAATACGGTGTGGGGCTGCCCTGCCTTCCTGGAGGGGACAGCCGCTCTGCCGGGGTCCCCAGGTGCCACTTGAGAGGCAGCCCCAGGGGCTCGACTCCCCCCGCTGCCAGCCCCAAAGCACCCTGATGCCGGGTGGCACATGTGGGGCTGAAGTCAAACTCAGGGATTGAAGCGGGAAAAGGTATACGCCCGGATCCAATCTGGTGCCCTAAGGGACATGGGGACACCTCTCAGAGGCTGTCACCGGCCTCAGGCATCACTTCATGCCCAGCCAGCACACCACAGGGCTTTTTAAATATGTATTTTTTAACTTCTTTATTGACACCAGTGGTGGTAGGGATTGGATTAAGCCAACAAGGGCCATTCCCACTGTTGCGCGGCTGCATGTATGGCTGGTGGGAGAGGGTCCCCCTCCATGCACATCCTCCCGCAGAGACGAATCCCCCCCCCCCCAGCTTTATGGCCGGAGCCATCTGCTGTGCACTCTGCTCCTATCCGCCACGGCGTTCAAGGGCTGGATGGAAACCAAAGTTCATTTTTCCCCTTGGGAATCAGCCAGCAACGGGGGCCCCGGTGGGCCGGGTCGGTGAGGAGCTGTTGATGGCGGGAGGTATTTATAATCTTTGTTTGGTTCCAGCAAGGCTGGACGCCCACTCCCGCTTCCCTCCATACAATAAGATCAAACAGCTCCGGGACATTTCCTCGCTCCTCGCAGATGAAATCCGTGCATCTGCCGCCACGCTCCGCCCTGCCCGGGGCTGCAGCCTCTTCCTTCGCTTGAAGATTTGGGGGCTTGCTCTTGCTGTTCCTTCTGTCCTGAAATGGGGAATTTCCTCATTTCCTGCCCCCCGCCTCCATTTTCAGAACTCGTGGGTGAGGGGTGCAGGGGGGGACACTGGGTCCGTGGCACCTTCCCCACCTCGGCTTCATCCCCTCTCCCACTTCTGACGGACCTCAGTAAGGACACACGCCACATCTGATAGCTCCCATGCAGGCTGTCCCCGTGGATGTCACTGCGGCTGGGGGTGAGAAAGCAGGAGTACGGCCGCTCCCGGCGAGGGGATGATCGGAAGGTGCCCAGCAAGAGTTTATTTCTCTGTCCCATACCTCCCTCCTCTTCCCTGGTGCCCAGCCCCGGTGAGGAGCAGGGATAAGGGGAGGGTGAGCTCCTTGGACCGCGGTCCGGCTGTGCTGGGTGGGTTCTCTGCGTCAGCAGGGATGCATGGGGAGGACGGACATCCCTGCCACGGGCACCTGCTGCCGCTGA